TTGCTTACTCCTCAGCACTCTTCCACACACTGTGCAGCAGCTCGCATTGCGTCAAACGTGAGGAACTCTCCTTCTGAAATTCCATGAGTATCGCGGATGTACCTATCGTCATCAACTGTATTTCTTCATGACAATACGAAATTTTTCGTGCTCTCTGAACAATTCTACCATAGTGTAAGCTTCTGAACTCAGCTGAGGAAAACAAATATATAATGTTCCGAATATGTGTTGTTAGCTCAAAACTCTTGTTCGTTGACGAGAAACACCGTCTTTTTTTAATTCCCCTAAGAAAAAAATACGCTCCTTATATTCCTCCACCACTGGACGCCTCTCCCTCACTAACAGTGCACTTACGCCAGCCGTGCTCGCAAACGGCGAGATAGTGAATACTGGAACGGTACACCAAACAAAACAACTGCTCGCCTGAAAAACAATACCAATAACGAATCTACACACCCGAAAGCCCTACCCGTAATGACGATCGAAATCGATTCCTTCACTAACCTTTCCTCGTGCTACAGCAAGGAAAAGTCCCCCACGTCCTTGGTCGCATGCCTCGCGATAGTTGCTCAGTGCAATAGTAGTAGATACAACATCATCAGTTTCGAAGAAGACAACTTTATGTGTACTTAGTCGTGCTAGTGTACCAGAATCGTACCAAGTTCGAACCACCTAAGTAGCATCGGTGGAGTTTCACCACTCTAGTGATGAACGTGAATCATATTTACGTGAAGTGGCGTAAAACTCGGTGAAAAACGCGATGATATTCGCGGTGATATGTGTTTTCCATACCACTAGGGTGGTGAAACTCCACTGTTGTACTGAATATCAGCACTTCAATGGCGCACGCGTAAACAAATACATTAAAAAAGACCACCGCTCCGCTTACCTGTTGCATGAAGACCTTTGATGTGAAAAAGCATACCACACCATCTGGAACTACTTGAACAAGTTCTTCCAATAACGTGCCATAACACTTCGACACTTCCTCGTCCCTAAAATCACCACTACACTCACAGCAAAAACAACACCAACTTTGTTTACTTTCGTGACTGAAAACTACTGCTAAGGACGACATCATTACTCCTAGTGACGATCAACGGACGAATACAATCCCTTTCCAAGGAGATGTCCAAAGCCTCACTCACAACAACTCTGTCAAGGCCCAACAACTTCGAGTACATCGAAAGAGGCGATAATGTACCAGATGTGAGCACCTGCGATGGAGGTTCACCAATGATACGGAGAAAACGCATTAGTAAAAACATATTTCACTTCGTGTAAGTAGTGAATAACGCGTAAAATGCCGCGACTGTTTCACGTGAGATAATGTGATCTGTTCGTGCAATTCACTTCATTTCGCGAATATCGTGTTTTCACATAGAGTATACGCCACATCACGTAAATGCACTAAACACCGAAATTTCATCACAAATACGACCATGTCTAC